ACACCGGTGGATTGGAAGACGAGGTGCGATTAAATGGCCGGCTCGTTCCCCTGACCTAACTCCGCTTGACTACTTCCTATGGGGCTATATCAAGGACAAAGTGTATCGAACTCAGCCTACAGATCTGAACGAACTGAGACATAGGATATCACATGAAGCTCAAGCTATTCCACGAGAATACATACAAAATGAAGTAGCCACCTTTTATAACCGGTTAGCATATTGCCAGACGACCGATGGTGGACATTTTGAACACCTACTTTAAAAGACTTTCTGTAAGTATTACCCTTAACTTCTATTAGCTACAGTAATAATGGTATTAAACATTTGTCAAACTTTAAAACGCGATTTCTTCCGACTGGATCAACCTTTTGAAGTCCGGTTTGCGGCATTGTTTTCAGTTGAAGTAGACCTTTAAAATGATATAAAACTCAACATGCTGTCATTAAAGATTTTCTTCTGACCCCCGACGGGCCGTCCCCCAAAGGTGATATCCGACCACCATGTACACAGAAAAGTTGCTCACAATTTCCGGTAACGGTATACCAAATGTGGTTGTGATATCGTTTGTCGTTTGAAAGTTATAAAGTCGTCCTAAGACTTAATGGTCACCCTGTATAACAAAAACACACGTCTCTGCAAAAAGATAACCAATCTGCTATTGTTGCACTACTTGTCTTGATCGTTCTTAAACTTGTTTCACGTATAAGAAATTCGTAGTTAGTTAATGTTGATACTCAAAAAATACATTACAGTCAAAATGTTCATAAATTCAAAGTCTGATCATTCAAAGAAAGTGTTTTAAGGCATTTTTTGATACTGTGTGTGGGTTAGACCGTTTCTGTCATCTGTATTCTACATTATTTTCACCTCTTATTCTCAATTTCATTTCTTCATTGAACACGTCACATTTAGGAGTTTTTGGAACCAAACCTTGTTCCTGCATCCATTTAAAACAGTTTTCTGTGTTGATAAAACATTTTGACTTAATTCGCGATACCTATTTAATGTTACAGTTAGTATAAAATAACTTATACAAACAAAAACAATGAAATAAATAAAAATGTAAACATTACAATAAAAAAATAGAATAATTGATATAATCGACGTATATAATACCGTAAATTAGGCGCAAAGATTTTCTAAATCGCCTATTCATGGAGCAGTTCCAAGCGGTAGGGCAATCATTGTATAAAATTAAGACCAAGAATTTAGGTAATGAATACATTACTGAGCTTATTTATTTATGTACATTTACAATTATTGTTGTAAATGAGTTTTTATAACAGTCAAAACTATGTTACGTTCATAAACTATTAACTTATACAATTAAACCTGAGATATCAATCATTTATAAGCTTTACTCGTATTGATATTCAGGAGTGTATCTTCTATGTAAACACGACACGACAGTCCAGTCACGTTATGGTGATTGTCTGCAAACCAGACAACACGCAATGTCTGATGTTGAATATGTCTGGTTAGCTTCATATGAAATTCATTGTAATAACAATTTTGTAGTCATAAAATAATTTAAATGTAGAGTATATCCTTCATCACAATAATAATTGAATGTTTATACCTGTTGTCTATGTAATCTTAGTCAACATTATGATATCATATTATAAAGGTTTACGGAAAAGGTTCATGGCAGAATTTCATCCACTTTTTTATTTTGAAAATTTTATTCTATGCTGAATATGTTAGCCTTTTTCTGATCCGGTTGCCTACTTCATAATACTGTATGCAATCTGTATAAATCTTCTGATAACAATTATAGGGAAACAACCCTATACTTTGTTTTATAAAAGTAGTTTTTTGGAATGTATCAGCTGTTCAAAATAAACATTTCCTGTGTAAGATGTTTGAACGTAAATATGCAGAAACCTAGGGAACTAAGTGTATAATTTAAATACTAAAAACATTACTAATTCGTATTCTAACTGACTTTATTTTTTTATTGAGAGTTGTTTTTTTAAGCCATTGTAAACCTTATATGATGAGCCGTAATGATGAAAGTATACAACATAAACAGGGTTTTACATTTATTTTTGATTTGTTTCTTAACAATATAATATTTTAAAGAAAATCTAAATACATTTTGAAGGTTAAAAACAATGATTTTAGCTTCCGAGTAATATTCAACCGGTTGCATTAGAGAGAATCACATTGATCATGAGGTTGGAAAATTCATTCATTCCCATCTCCTTGCTCTGTTGAGCCTTATTCCTCAAATTTTGAATTTTTGTACATGTATTGATCAATGAATATTTAGTCATTGATAATCGAATAACAGTTAAATAGTAGTAGATAGGAATGGTTGTTTTCCATACAACGGTTGTTTGGTATATTTCCAGCGTGAATAAATCTCAACTAGTTTATTTAAAAAAATGTATGATAGCAAAGGTATATTGGGTATATATACAAAAAAAAAACATTTGTTTTATCAAAGTGACTTACTCATTTTAATCGTTTTTAATTAGTAGTGTAAAATAATATTTTTGTAGTAATATAAGGGAAAATATTATTATTATTTTTTTGTACTGATAAGAAAGTCTAGTTGTTTAAATAAGGGTATTTTTAACAGCAAAAGTATCTTTTAAAAATAACTGTTTCCCTTTTCCTGCGGGTGACAATTCTGTGTGGAATATGCTGTTCTCGAGGCTATTTACACTCATGTTTGCTGATGTTTCCACTGCACAGTACAAAGGGTTTTACTGATAGAATAGTTAATGTGAGTATTGGACTCTTTTGGTCGTGTTGTAAACAAACCTTTTTCCCAAAAAGTCATATTTGTGTTTCCTCTATTTAGCTCATTTATTTACTTTTTCCGTTTTGAAATACGCATTATTTACTATAATCTTTACTGTAATCATAATCTTGTTTTATAAATTACTAATATATTATGTACCATATTTTTTACTAAATTAAAATTAAAAAAGCTTCCATTAAATTAGCTTTTTAAAACGTTTGCTTTAGTGGTAGATGAACATTTACCCAAAAACAAAACCTACCATAACAAAATTAATTATTGGGTGAAGTATAAGTAAAGTAACTATAGAAAAATGCAAAACTTTAAAAGAAAATACGAAACTTCCAATTTAAGGATAATGAAACAAAAAAATACAGCAGCGACAAGCATTCTGTGTTGGTTTAGCGAACAAAAATTGAGCTTTTCGATTGCTAAAGCAATTTTTAAGAGAATGATATCCCTGTTATTTTGCATCTTGGAAATAGTAATTTCTGTTTAAAATTAGCCTACTTAAAAAGTGTATGTGAAAAGATATTTTTTTAAACCATCTTGAAGTGAAGTTATGATTCCAGCGTCAACAATAAAAATACAAATACAAGAATTCCCTTTGGAATTAGTTTTTGCAAGAGCATCTGGAACTCTTAATTGTTTATGTCTGTATTGGAGTATCTGGCAAAAGACGGAGGTTTATTGTTTATACTGTCAAAGGAGGTCTACGCCAACGTATTCAGAAATGAAATACATGTATCACAATTAGTTAAATTGATAGTACTGTAACTGTGTGGATTTAAATAAGATATAAAATCAATGTTAGTTTACGTTTCATTTTTCTGATATTTTATAAAAAATTTCAGCATTTTTTTTAACAGTTGTGGTAAGTTTTGCATTGAAGAGAAACAGATTCAACGTATTCAGTAGTTAAATAAAATTATTACAGTTTTTATAATAAATAGTATCATCACTAAAATTGGAATTATTATCAAATTTTTTACTAAGATCGATCAGTGTTTGGTTACTAAAGGTAAGTAGTCCAGTGCAAATAGCATTTGAGTAAGGAAATTAAAAAAAAAAGTTGAAACCTGTTGGAAATCATTTATTAAGGTCTCCTGAACCCACAGAAGAAAGTCCCAGAAAATCCCATGGGGACTTTTCTGCCATTTTGAAACATAAGTCGGTCATGTTGGATTTATGCAAGCGTTTACGGAAATGGGTGTTACTAGTAAACTAATTGACTTAAAAACCTCCTGTTTGCATAAAAATGTCTTGTAAACTCCAGGCTAGATATTAAATATTAAAATACCCCCACTGCAGCAAACCTGCAGACTAAGCGAATTTCCATTAGCCTGAATTTATTTTAAATTAAATCTATTTGAATAGCATTAGGTTTAACGAGTACCTAAGTTTGCTGTTACAGGTAGCCTAATAAAATGTGTTTTTAGTAAAATATTAGTAGATTAATATAAAATAGATAAACTTTCCATGTTTAATCAACATATTTCCATAAACAAACAATTTAAAACATTTTACAATATTCTCCATAAGAATAACAAAGAAAATTTTAAATTTGCAGTTTTTTGAATTTTCTCCATAACTATTAATTGTACAAAAACACGTTGATATACTAAATTATTTGTTTTTTAATCTCTTTAAAAAGGTCTAGAGAGAAATTAGGAAATTTTGAGTTTTTAGGGTCAAAATGAGAAAATGAGGATGATTTAGTAATACCAACATTTCAAAAAGAGTTCCCTGCTAACCCCACTAACAAATCAAGATTTATTGCACTATTAACTGTACACCTCACAAACGTGGGATGCCAGGTTTCACAAGCTACATCTAAGGCCCAATTCACACCGAACGGACGTCGGGCGGAGACGTGGCACGGACGAGGCACAGACGTGGCAGTGACGTGGCGTGTTCAATGCACACCAAAGGGACGGTAAAGGGACGGTACAGTGGCGAGACAACCTGTATGTAGACTAGAAGCTTGGGGTTTTGCTTATATCTATTAATGTCAATGGTGTTAGTTAATTTCTGTCAACTTAATTAGTACAAACAAGGGAATTGTTCTACTTCCTCACAAAATTTGATATTAAATCCAATGTCGTCTCGCATAGTGAAGAAACAACTCACAATCCACACACAAAAACAACTCTACACAACAAGGTTGGTAAGTACAAGCACACTATACACAAGAAGGTTGGTAAGTACAGTACATATTTGCAGTCCGAACAACGGGCGCGCTACGGACATGCCACTTCCGATACGCCACGAGGGACGCCGAAGCGACGTGGCGGTGGCGGGAGGGGCCGCCCGCCACCGCCACGTCGCTTCGGCGTCCCTCGTGGCGTATCGGAAGTGGCATGTCCGTAGCGCGCCCGTTGTTCGGACTGCAAATATGTACTGTACTTACCAACCTTCTTGTGTATAGTGTGCTTGTACTTACCAACCTTGTTGTGTAGAGTTGTTTTTGTGTGTGGATTGTGAGTTGTTTCTTCACTATGCGAGACGACATTGGATTTAATATCAAATTTTGTGAGGAAGTAGAACAATTCCCTTGTTTGTACTAATTAAGTTGACAGAAATTAACTAACACCATTGACATTAATAGATATAAGCAAAACCCCAAGCTTCTAGTCTACATACAGGTTGTCTCGCCACTGTACCGTCCCTTTACCGTCCCTTTGGTGTGCATTGAACACGCCACGTCACTGCCACGTCTGTGCCTCGTCCGTGCCACGTCTCCGCCCGACGTCCGTTCGGTGTGAATTGGGCCTAACGCAGACACTCTCATTGTTTCAACAGCTCTGTATTTCCCCAACAAAGACTTTGGTACTAGTGGGACAAGAAAGAGACCTTCTTGTATTGTTGATTACTCTCACTCGATGCAACGTATTCATGCTCATTCCTGCCAAAGGAAACAAACCTCACCGCATTTTTAATATTAGGAAACTGCAAGAAGGTTTAGGTGAGTTACAATATTTTCTTTTCCTGCTACACGCATTCACGCAGGTTGCGATACAACCTATGCCATATTCAGCAAAGGAAAAAAACCGCGTAGAAGAAGCTCCAAAACAATGCAGGACTTCAGGAATCCGTCAGTATAGCCAAAATATATGGTGTTAGTAGAGAAGTAACTGACCTTAACATTGCAAGGCACCGCATGTACATAAAAACGATAGCAAAGCAGAGACTTAGTGCAAATTTCGACCTCGCCTCTATTCCCCCAACCAAAACAGCAGCCCTCCAATACACCCTGAGGGCTTATCATCAAATTCAGCTGTGGAAAGGTGTTAATCTCCCCGCTAAGGACTGGGGCTGGAAACTAAGTGCTAGTCTAATACCTGTAACAACTCTTCAACAACCTGCTCATCAAAATCTACTTAATCTTATATTCTGCAACTACAAAGGCAATTGCGAGAAGTATTGTTTGTGCCGAAGAAGCTCGTTATCTTATTCTCATATGTGCGGACACTGTGCAGGATTTTGGTGCGGTAATACACTACCAGTTACTGAAGATAAACTTAACCTGTTAATCTAGTGATAATATTAACTAGTGAATGATCCAGTCTACTATATCCACAACGTTCAAACAAAACTTTGGAGCTTTAAGGGAAACGTGACGAAAACGGCCGGGCCGTCAAGCGTCGGAGCGAAAATGTATCGAATGCTTCTATTGGTTCTTGAGTAGGATGGTTAAAATAGTTAGGTAAACCCTTTTAGTGTATTTGAAAGAAGATTTTATTCTCTACAATTTGTATGAAAAGTTTTCCTTATAACAGCAAAGCAAAAGGATACTTGGTGAAAAATGCTAATTATTAGTTACAATATGTCAAAATAAATAAGTTTTACGGGGGGGTTTTATGTAATAGAAATTTGTTTTTAAAATTTTTGACCGTCAAAACACAAAATTTCCTAATTTCTCTCTAGGACATTTAAATGGCGTACAAAAAACAAACAATTCAGTATCCCAAAATGTTTTTGTATGGTTAATGGTTATGAAGAAAATTAAAAAAAACTGCAAATTTAAAATTTTCGGGTAATTATTCCGTATAGGTGCCTCCAAACGAATTTTTAATTCTGATATCTTACTTTATAGTTTTTTACCTCCTGAATCCAAATATACCATTATTTTTCACAGCTGATGAATATTTCTCAAGATATCGCCGTAATAATATAGGCCTACAACATTACAATAAACAAGGTAGGATGGATGCCATTTAAAATTGGAATGTACTATGGGTATTTTATCCTTATTAATGATTTATTGATTTATATTTCGCCGTTTAGAAATTACATACTAAAATGGTGCTATTCTAACATAACCTAACCTAACCAAACCTCTAGAATGTGTAAGCAAACTCCTTTTGATGTCAGAAAAGGTATGTCAGGGTGATAGGTCGTGCTTTATGTGAATTGGTGACTGCATTAAGTCCTTTGAAGGTAGGTTAGATTAGGTAAGTTAAAGTTTAGGTTATAATGTATCAAGTTGTTAGTTTATGCTACCTGCAGACTAATTTTGTAAAATTAAAATCCAGAAAAAACACTTCAAATTACTATTTCAAAAATGCAAGCATTTTTGAAAAAGTGATTTGAAGTGTTTTTCTCAGGATTTTAATTTTACAAAAACAGTCTGCAGGCAACATAAACTAACAACTCGATACATTATAACCTAAACTTTACCTTCCTAATCTAACCTAACTTCAAAATACTTAATGCAGTTACCAATTCACATACAGCACGACCTACCACCCTGACATGCCTAAATAAGAACTACAAGTAATTAGTCCACCAGTCCATCTATATCTCCATAATGTGACGAAATTCCTATTATAGAGAACATTAAGTTATTTGACTACAGAATCACTTGAAATGTTATCCATCCTATCTTGTTTATTGTAATGTTAAGCATGTTTTTACGGCGATATCTTGAGAAATATTTATCAGCGGTGAAAAATAATGGTATATTTGGATTCAGGAAGTAAAAAACTATAAAGTAAGATATCAAAATTAACAATTCGTTTGGAGGCACCTATACGGAACAAATACCAATTTTCGTTGTTATTATTATGGAGAATATTGTAAAATTTTGTAGTTTGCTGGTTTATGAAAATATGTTGATTGAACATGGAAATTTATCTATTTTATATTAATCTACTAATATTTTACTAAAAACACATTTTATTAGGCTACCTGTAACAGCAAACTTAGGTACTCGTTAAACCTAATGCTATTCAAATAGATTTAATTTAAAAAAAATTCAGGCTAATGGAAATTCGCTTAGTCTGCAGCTTTGCTGTGGCGGGGGTATTTTAATATTTAATATCTAGCCTGGAGTTTACAAGACATTTTTATGCAAACAGGAGGTTTTTAAGTCAATTAGTTTACTAGTAACACCCATTTCCGTAAACGCTTGCATAAATCCAACATGGCCGATTTATTTTTCAAAATGGCGGAAAAGTCCCCATGGGATTTTCTGGGACTTTCTTCTGTGGGTTCAGGAGACCTTAATAAATGATTTCCAACAGGTTTCAACTTTTTTTTGAATTTCCCAAATTTTGCCATTTTTGAGCTAATTGCACTGGACTAAAGATTGTATCTGGATTCAAACAAGCGAGACAAACAGATCACTGGTCAGACATCGCATGTCTTGTTAGTTGTCCACAATTAACCTCACGCCATTGTTCAGGTTATCAATATTGTGGCCCTGTCTGTAAAGGGATGAGGTTGAACAGAATTTACAAAATATTTTGTCATTTTAGTATTTTTTACATTACTCTATATTTACTTTGGTATTTACGAAATAGGTTAGTAACTAGGTAAATAGGGCATGTTCAGAATTAAGATAAGCTAAATCCATTCCTTATGGCTAGAGAAAAAGATGTTTAAATGGATTGTGTAAGTTTTCGTTGAAATATGTAGGCAAATTCTGTTCAATGTGATATCATTGAAAAAATATCGATCCATGATATTTGTAGCTGTGAAAACAAAATGGCTGTGTAAACAATTGATTATATTTAAAGTTAAAAGTCTCAGGTTTTCCAGAAGATTCAACACATTAACTGCATCATTTTAAATACCTTGTAAACCTTTGATTTTAAATTACTCGGGAAATAACTATTCGCAATAAGATGGTTGTTTTTATTTCCTATAATTTTATGAATGAAGTAGCAAAATTTACGTGAGATATTTTCAGCAGAACTCCTGATTTTATTCCACACAAAGCTGCTGAATGATTCTTAATTCAGCTTTGCGTTTGCTCGTGTTTTCGGAATGCTTCTTCTGTATTAATTGTGCTACTGCTACACGTGTAATCTTCCAATAAAGCTGTAGTATCCCTTTCACATCAAAAGATATAGTACTTTTACATTTATAGCGTATATTAAATGTAGAACACTGCAATGCAATGAGTATAAAAACTATAAACTTTTTATTATTAAAAAATATTGGTTGCTAGAGCAATTTTGTTTTATCAAGCACAATAACTTTTAGTTACATCCCATAAAAATAGCTACAATCTATATATACTTTTTTAATACGCAAGCAGGTTTTTTATGACAATTACTCCTCCGAAACTACTGAACCGATTGACATGTTTTTGGTGTCATTGGAAAGAGCGTAACGTGAAGTTGTACAGGAAACTTTCTTTTTAGGTAAATAATTAGAGAGTGAGGCCCTGGGGCCCTATAAAGTTTCTTATTTCTTGATAAGATTAACATGGGAAACAAACATTGTTATGAAACTCCAGCTGTTGTCAGAAATTTAAAATGAGAAGAAGATATGTTAATTGTAAAATTGTGACAGAGAGGTTATGCAGAAAATTAGGTACTGGTAGTTAATGGTTATTTGGTGCTATTAAAATAAAGACTGAAATTTACAGTTTTTTGAACATGTACACTAGTACAGTAGTAGTAGTTTGAATTCCCAGTAATAAACGTGTCCATAAAAATCTGCGTTAAGAAAATGTGTATTATTTTTCATATGGGTACCAAGTAAATTTCGTGCATAACGTCATTTTTCTGATGACATAACTTTTTCCGTAGAAACTAACATCCTACCAGTGATTTCCAATTAGTCACGAATTCTTTTGATATACTGCATCGAAATCGGAAGTTTCAATCATTCGTTGCGGGCCAAGTAGCTCTTCTTTTTCTCCATAGAGAAAACACGAGGTTCTTTTTGTACTTTTGTATTTTCAAATGGCAAACAATGTTACAATTTTTTGAAGCATTGAATACCAAATCCATAGGGTAATCTGTAGCTCAAAGTCTTTGAAAAAGAAACGCGTATATTTTGTCTTGTATAGTGTCCACCTGTCACAGGCTGAGATATTCCTCCTAAGGGACAAATACACGGATCCAACTG